GCGCGGGAGGGGACGAGGGTCCCATCAGGGCGAGGTGGTGGGGCCCGAGGAACAGAGTGGCCGCAGGACAGCCCCGGGAAGCCGCTCCCTGCCCTGCCTCCCGCGCACACCTTGATGAGCCCGGGCACCAGCAGCTCCACTTCCGTGCCAGCCACGGCCGGGTCTAATGCCTCCCAGCCCTGGGAGCCTTGCCGTCCTTCCAAGACATAGCCATCCAGTCTCTTGGGGACCAGTTCTGGGGGGTCCCAATGCAGGAGCACCCCCCGGGGCGTCCTCACTGCCACCAGGCCTCGCGGTGGGGACAGGGGAGGCGGAATCTCTGTCGGGGGAAGGCTCGGGGCAGCTGAGGTGGTAGGAAGCCCTGAACGGGACAGACGGGCAGGTCAGAGGGCGGATTCGCAGCGTCCCTCATCCTGTCCCTCTGACCCTTCAGAGCCCCCAGTGCCCAGCCATTCTCCCAGTGCCCCTAAAGACAAGTCCAAATCATCGTCCGCACACTCCTCTGGACCCCCAAGCTATCCAGCACTGCTGCCCCCTCCTACCCAGGTCCTCTCTGCCTCGGCCTTGTCTCTGCTGCTCTGGAGTGAGAGGCTGCTCACCTTCAGGAACAGACAAGACGATCTCACTGAAGGGCCCGCTCCCCAGCTTGTTCTGAGCTAGCACGCTGAACTGGTACTGGGTGTGAGGCTGCAGCCCTGGCACTAGGAGGTGAGCAGCCCCCACGGGCACTGCCAAGGACACCCAGTCGTGGTGCGCACGGTCAGGACGCTTGGCACTGGGAGACATGAGGACACGGGGGGTGCCTCATGAGCTGGAAAGACCAGGAAGGTCTGGGGCCCAGAGAGCTGATCACCCCTCTGCTCCACCATCCAAGGTCCCAGGACCTGGGCCCTGAACACCTCAGAGTCTGGAGACAGGGCAGCAGAGCCAGGATGGCTTGGGATGGAGGAACAAGAGAAAGGGTAAAGGGCCGGACAGATTCGGGATGGGGAGGGGAAGGCAAGGCTGGCGCCGAGGAATGGCAGGGGCAGGGCACTCACAGTGGGGTGTACCAGACACTGAATCTCTGCAGATAGCCACCATCAAAGCCAGGCTCCCAGGAGACATTGGCACCCTTGGGCAAAGGCACCACGGACACATTGGTGACAACGTGGGGACTAGTGCCTGGGTAAGGGGGAGTGGAGGGAGGGGTGATGGTCAGGGCGCTGACGAGAGGTGGACAGCAGAGGAGGCTCACGGCCTCTGACCTCCACCCATCGGCCCAGGGTCTCATGCCCACAATTCCCTGCCCTGGCCTCCAAAAATGATTCCCGTCTGCTGTCCCACATGAACCCCTGACCAGCTCTCCACCCACTAACCCAGCACGTAGACATTCGTGGAGGTGGCCACACGGGCCACAGCATTGCTGGCGCTGCATTCCCATCGTCCGTGGGCCTCCTTGGTCAACGGTCGCAGGACGAGGCTGCTGTTGCTGTCCACCTGGGCCTGGCCCTGTGGCCCCCGGCCCACCTGCGGAACCACTGGTCAGCCCTGAGGACACACGCAGCCACCCCTCACGAGGGCGCCCCTCTTCTCTCTGGGCGGCTTGTTTTCTCCCCACCCCACCTCTGACAGCCCTCTCCTTCCCACAGAGGAGCCAGGGTGCCAAGAGGCAGGGGTGGAGTGGGCATGACTAGGCAGAGCTGGGTCAGGAGCCTTACCTTGGCCCAGGAGACAGCGGGAGGAGGGTCTCCTCGGGCAGAGCAGGGTATGAGCAACTCCCGCCCTACTTCTTGGAAGTACTCTTCCTTGGGCCGTTCTATAAAAGCTGGGGGAGGCTGCAAGCCAGATGCGGCATTGGGAGGGGCCTCTCTCAGGGCCCCCTCACATCTCTGTCTACGGCTGCTGCTTCCCTCTGGGCTCCCTGTCACACCATGGGTCCCAGTCTCCATCTCATTTTTTCTCCACCCCTCAGTTCCTCTCTAGCTCTGTGTCTGTCGCCAGGTGGGTAGGGCCAGAGGGAAATGGTGGCACAGTAAGGATCAGTGTGCTGAGGCAGGACTCTCTGGAGTCGTGCATACTCCACGGAACACCCTTTCTCCCTCCCAGAGCTCCAGAGAGAGGGAGACAGCGTGGTCAGGGTGAGAGATGGGGCCGCACAGGACATCTTACTTGGTGGGTATGTGTGACCTCCCAGTACCACCTCTGCAGAAACTTCTGGGAAGCCACCTGACAGCTGCTGCTGTGGTCACCATGGAAGACTTGGAAGCCCCTCCCCATGTGTGTCTGCCCCACCCACCCTGTCAGCCTGGCCTCATCTTCAGCCATCTGACCCACTGCTGCCACTGCCACTGCTGCGGGCCCTGGCGCACCCTGGCCTCACCTTGAGCAACACACGCGTCACAGGGGAGGGCCCAGCAGTGCCCAGGCTGTTGTAGGGGGTGCAGGAGTATTCTCCCAGGACGTCCTCGTTCCCCAGGGCAATGATCAGTGAGCCTTCTGTGCCCTGGGACCAGCCAGGGAACTGGAAGGAAGAAGAGATGACAACTGGAGAAAGAAATTCAGCAGAGGCAAGACCGGGCTGGCAGTTCAGGAGAGGAAGGCGGTACTAGAAACACCTGTGCAGAGGACACCACGGCTCCCCTCCAGGCCTGGCCTTGCTCTGAATTCCAGTCCTGCCTTTTCCTTTTTCCTGCAGAGGGACCACTACACCAAGGGTATGAGGCTGTGACTGCACAATCCCAGGGTGCCACTCACAGAAAAACCCAGTGTGCATGGTGACCCTGGAGCTGAGCCCTGCGGCGCTCCCTGGCTGCTGGGACCACACCCAGCTGCCTTCCCAGCACACCACCATGACTCAGTTCAGCATCTTCCCCCTCAGAGCTCCCATTTCCATATGAAGGCCTCACTGTCCCCCTTGCTAGCCTGACCCCTCACTCTCCCTCACTCCCCCTGGTGAAACACTCGCCAAGCCTGTCATCCTGGGAAGTCCCTTGGTCTGGGGGTGAGGCCCAGCTATCTTCATGTCTTCCTGTCTAGCTCCCAACCGCCCACCTGGACAATTCCAACAGCCCTGGAACCCCTCTTCCTGCATCTGGTTTCTCTTGCTTGTTTCCATCTGACACTTGACTCCTGATCACAACTCAGATGCTCTTACACCATTGTTGAACAAACCTCACTGGCTCCAGCTGGCTTTAGACTATTTTTTTCTGAGGCAAGGTTTCACTGTCACTAGGCTGGAGTGCTGTGTCACAATCACGGCCAACCGCAGCCTTGAACTCCTGGGCTCAAGTGATCCTCCTGTCTCAGCTTTCTGAGTAGCTGGGACTGCAGGCACATAACAGCACACCCAGCTAATCTTTAAGTCTTTTGTAGAGACAGAGTCTCACTTTGTTGCCCAGACTGGTCTTGAACTCCTAGCCTTAAGCAATCTTCCACCTCAGTCTCCCAAAGTGCTGGGATTACAGGCGTGAGCCATGGTGTCTGAATAGACTTTTTTTTTTAAACATTCAACAAATATGTACTGACTACTACTATTGTAGAAGCCCTGGGGACACTATGATTAAAAGATGCACTACCAAGCCTCAAGGAATTTATAGTCTTTGCAGACAAACAAAAGACTCCAAACGCCTTGGAATGAGGTAATACTAACTTGGCATCCACAGCTCTTCCTTCTGGCCCCAACCTGTCTTTCCAGCTTTCACTGCACCATTCATGTCTCTACAGGCTCCCACCCCATTGGACGATTCATTATTCCATAAACGCACTACACTGCATCCTTTCTCCGGGCCCTGGTTTCTGTAGTGGAATCACTGTCCGCCCTTCAAGGCCCATGACCAGAGTCCCAGAATCTGTTGCTGGCCTGTCCTCAACCACCCTAAGAGGAAGGCGCATGCCCCTTCCTGGCCTTCCAGCAGAGTGTTGATCATCATCTTCCATCCAAGCGCTACCCTCTTTAAGGATGGTCACCTCCCTGCCCCTGTCTCCCACCCAGCACCCCACACAGCACCGGGTAAGAAATGTATGCTCCCCGGGAGGTGTATACTTCCTGGAACACACAATTCCCCAGTCATCACACAAATTAACCTTCAACTCTGCTTCTTAACTCTTTGTCGTCATTTTTCCCAGAGATCATCTCTCACTTTTGCCCAAAAAAGAAACAAAACCAGCTGCACCTTAAACCACGGCTACTTTTCCCAAGAGGTTTTAAATAGTTTCCCTTGCAACACGTCTTAAAAATTACAAATTAAATTCTATAAAAGAAATGTACATTCCCAGCCGGGCACAGTGGCTCACACCTGTAATCCCAGAACTTTGAGAGGCAGAAGCGAGAGGATTACCTGAGCCTTGGGGTTGGAGACCAGCCTGGGCAACTTGGCAAGACCTAGAACCTAGAATCTACAATAAATCAAAAAATCATCCAGGCATGCACTTGTGGTTCCAGCTACTTGGAAGGCTGAGGCAGAAGGACTCAAAAAAAAGAAAAAAGAAATGTATGTTCTCTAGTCACTAAGTTGAATTAAACTGAGCTAACTCTTATGGACTTCACACCAACTTGGATGCATTTAGAGTCTATAATACTCAGTGATTTATCACAGAAAAAGAACTAAGTACCATATGTTCTCACTCATAAGCAAACTCTGAATATAACCATACTACTATAAGAAAGGGACTGGCAGAAACTGCCAAGGGAGGGAGGGGGAGCACATAACATTAATAAGGGTACCTGATCTCAAACTAGGCAAAGTGAGAACCAAAGAAAGCCCCAAACTTTACCTGTACGATGACCACTTGAATACCTAGTCCTGACGTGAACCCCACATCTTTCAAATAAATAAAATTTAAAAAAGAAAAAAATAAAAGATAAACTGAGCTAACTCCACCCAGCTGTCCTGACCAGAACAACACCAAGCTCAGACCTTCTTTCCCCCTGCCCCAAGCCTGTACCTTGTCCAGCTGCAGGGCCTGCCCGTCCTTGGTCCAGCTGACAAAGAGGAGGGGGGGGTTGGCACGAACTGGGCACCGGATCACCCCTCGCATGCCTACGGGCAAGGGCGTCTCGGGAGGCATGGCTGTCACCCGGGCTGGGTCTGGGGGAAAGCAGAGGCACGCTAGGGGAGAAGGGTTTGGTCCAGGGGAGGGGAACAGTTTGGGGAAGGAGCTGGGCTCAAGCTTACAGAGCACAGTGAGGTAGGCAGAGGCTGAGGGCGGGCGCGGAAGGCCATTGCTGGGCAGGCAAGTGTAGCGGCCAGCATCATCGGGCTGGGCAGCCTGTAACCACAGGCTTCCGTCCACCAGGATCCGCACTCGGGACTGCAGGCGGCTGCAATACAGCATGTGTGAGGAGGGGCCCAGGCCTTGCCCAGCCAGGACTGTCCACCAAGTCCCCACGGCCACCCCTCCTAATGCAGCGACCCACCTAATGTGGAAGACATTGATGCTGTCCTGGAACCAGCTGTAGGTGAGGTTGGTGGGGTACGCCTCAGCGCGGCAGGCCAAGGAAACATCCTGGGAGGCGTTGACTGTGCTGTTCTTGGGAGGCACCACGATGACGGGGGGGCCTGCGGGGAGCACAGAGAGCAGGAGCTTCAGCCCACAGAGCCCTGAGATCCTTCTCCAGCTCTTCCCCACCCTGTCCTCTGGCACCTAGGACTGGCTGTCACAGAGCCGTGGGGGAACCGAAACAGGACCTTCCCCTCATACGGAGCAAGAGCCCACTGTCTCCCTGAGAACAGCCCCTCTCCCTAAATTCTCCCTGTTCCACCTGGGGCAACCCCGTGCACCCAGTTCCCCCACCTAGAAATCACGGGCACTCAGAGGAGTCAGTTTTAGCTCTGTTCCTTCACCCTTTGTGTCCCCATCACATCTTAAATCACTGTGTCTCCGACCCTAGCCCAGGTACCCAACACCTCACCCTAAGGTGCTGCAACTCACGACGCCAGGCTCCCTGTCACGACTGGGGCTGGATCACGACTACACTCATGGCCCTTCATGCAGAAATGACCCCATTACTACCACAGTCACAGCCACCCGTAGAAACGGCCCCCTCACCCGCACGCTCACAGCCACTCATGCAGAAACAGCCCCTTCAGCCACAGAACACTTCTGCTCGGGAACCTGCAGTAGTTCCTGGCTCCTATCACACTACGCTCAAGCTTCTCGACCCAGCCCTGCGGAGCCATGACCCAGCCCCTCCCTCCTGGCCAGCCTCTTTCCATGTCAACCCTCAGGAATTCCTCCAGGTCAGGAAGGGCAGCTGGCTGTCCTCAGGCCAGGCTCTCCCGCATCTTCACACCTTGGTTCCCTGCAGCCCCATCGGAATGCCCTTCCGAAGGCCTGGCCAAGCCACATGCCCCCTGCAGCCCCGCCTCTGACTCTGGCAGCTCCACTGTGCTCTCCCCTCTCTGGGCCCGAACCCATGAGTAGTCAGTAACAAGAGGTAACAATAAGAGCCAGCATGTATTGAGCACCTACAGTGTGCTGGGCACTAGGTGCTGAGCACATTGCCTGCATTGTCTCATTTAATCCTCACAAAAACCTCTGGTGGGAATGACTGCCTCCATTTTATAGATGAAGAAGCAGAGAGATTATGAAGTGACTTGCCAAAGATGGCAGGGGAGCTAAGATTCCTATTCAAGCCCTTCCTGACACCAGAGATAATGCCCTTAGCCATTACCCAGCATGCCTTTCTCACAGAACTCCGGACATCAACGCTTGTTGTTTCCCCAGTGTGTCTATTTGGCCATATAGACAATCGGCTCTATGAAGGCAGAGTCCAGACCATACACATCTCAGCTTTCCTTCCAAGGAAGGGTCTTGGCCAGAAATGACTCTGTGCCACTCCCTGGGCCAGGCTGAACCTAATTACATCCACTCTCACTCCTAAGAAGGAAGGAAGCCTCAATCACAAGAGGCAGATACGACTCTCTTTATAAAGATGAGGAACCTAGGACTCAGGGAGCACATGGCACACCACCTAACACAGGTACCATGTCCCTTCCACTGTAACACACTGCTGGGCACTAAATATCAATTGAACATTTTGAAATTAAAATGCTGGTTTCAGAGCAAGAGCCTGCAGTGGGAGAGCCCTCGCCCACACAGGCCCCGCTCTCAGGAACAAGTCCCCCTCAGCCACAGCTCACAGTCCTCTCACACATTTCCCTGGACCCCAGCCCTCCCTCCAGACAGCACCTAGCACCAGAAGCTGGGTGGCGTGGGTGGCACTGCCCTCAGTGCTGGAGGCTTGGCAGGTGTAGACCCCAGAGCTGCCCCGCTCCACCCGCCGGATCCACAGCGTCCCGTTCTGCACCTAGGAAAGGAGTAGGTGAGGAAGGGTCCCTTTCCGCCCACCAGCCTCAGACCCTGCACTTCTGAGGCTGGCCAGCAGAGGGTGGCAGCACCTCAGGCTCAGGGAAGCCAAGGTAAAGCCCCTCCTCTGGCCCACCTTCCAGCCTGGCCTTTGCCCCCTCTGTCCTCCAGTCCCGCTCCCAGGCCCCCACCTTCCCCCCATACGCCATCTGGCCCACTCTGCCCAGTCCAAGGACTCACTTGCACCTGACCCTGGCCCCGGCCAAGGTCCTGTCCTCGGAGCTTCCAAGTCACACGAGGTGGGGGGCTGCCCCGGGCCACACAACGCAGGGTCACAGGCTCCTGCTCCTTCACTTCCAGCACTGGGGGAGGCGTCTCCTGCAACTGAGGGGGCGCTGCCCGGGAGAGCAGCAACAGGAGCTGCCAAAGGGCTACCGGCCCAAAGAGCAGTGTCCGAGGGCCAGGCAGACGGACCCCTCGGGCCGGCAGCCCTCTGCCCACCAGCCCACCCAGCCTCATTGGAATCCCAGACCAGGGCCACCCTGTCTGCTACCCTCAGGGCCAAGTGAGGGCTGCACCAGCCCATCCCCACACACTGGTATCCAGAGACAGGGGAGAGCTAAGTATCCTCAAGAGGAGCACTGTTCTGGGAGTCAGGAGGCCTGGGTTCTAAGCTCTCTTTTGCCAGTGGCATGAGCCAGT